ATTCTAATAAAAGTTAACTATTTTGCATATTCGATTACTTCAGTATAAAAATAATTCCATTTTTATACGTAAATCCGTAAATAGAATGTGCATATAAAGATTAAACACACTATCGTGTTATTATTTAGAAACCCCATAATTATATCGTCTTATTACTTTATTTCTAAGAATCTTTTTAATTCACAATTTAATCTTTAAAAAATGACGTGATTAAAGAACAAGCTACTAAACGTATAATTAACGATTTCTGCGGTATACATATCAAATTTTATACCTATAAATCTTGTATGTATAAATATAATATTATATAAATTATACTATCGAACAGGTATAATTATTATTTCGACGAGAACATTTTAGTAATTTGTGCACGTTAATTTTTGCAGACATACTTCTTTATAACATAAAGAGTGGCTGTTCTTCGTATTCGAATTTCCTACCGCTTAACTTTTTTGATCATAAGAATGTTTCTATTTTTATACGTAGACCCATCATGCAGACAGAATGTGCATGAAGCCACTACTGATCATGTCGCGTTCCTCGCCACAGGAGAAACGAAGCTGTGGAGCAAGGCTGGGGTATAGTGTAGGTGACAGGAGAGAAGGGTGGCAGGAGAAACCTGCAGCGTGGGTGTATATACGTAGCTACTTTACGATACATGTGGCGACACATTATTTTCGCCCGACTCCGACGTTCACACTTTTCACTTAAAACGTCAAATTTTAATACTATTAATATAGAATCCTATAACAATTAATAACTGCATTTCGGAGAAAAAAAATACGATAAAAATCAAACGATTATTCCGTTAAATCAAGTCCAGATACAACGTTCAGAATAAACACGAACATACCTGTTTTTTTATGAATTATTTTATTAACGGCACTTTTCGATAATTATTTCAATATTGATTTATAGCGCATTTGTAGAACTTTGTTCTCGCTTTTATTACTTATCGTGCCCCCGCGATTGCGAAAAGGAAGGTAAAGAGAAGGAGGAAAGGAGGAGGGTTAAGAGTTACTCTGAATAAAGAGACTGAGATCCGCAAACCGGTACCACCAGTACCATACTCTTGCATCAATGATGGGAAATGCGCCCGTGTCTCGAATCAAGAATAGACGCGCGATTTCTGCACGCCATCATACGAACATATATTATATTATGAGTGAATAAAGCTGTACTGTAAATATTTATTTGAAACATTACAAAGTGAAAAAGTATTTGACTATAATTGCATAATTGATTAGAAGTTCCATTTTTATATTTATTACTCTGCTGTAATGTAATACTTAGTAATAATTATTGTGTTATCTGCTTTGAAGCCTCTTTTCTTGAGGCAAAAACAGTACTATCTTAGCGAAGAAACTTCCAAAATAAATTGCAAAAAGTTCTCTTGAACGCGGTCATTGACACTCAAACGAATTCTCCTAGCCAGATCTCAATTTTCTCGAAGCGACATATCTATACATATATTTGTTGCGATAAAAAAAATTCCAACCCGTGTGAGCGACGTATTAAATACGTTGTTTGGTCGCTACGGTTAGTTCTTTACGGGAAATTAATAGACCCCTCGGGATGATCGACTGGTTAAATAACGATTAGATTCGATGTTTACCCGATATTGTATATCAGGATTAATCATACTGTCCTCGGTTCACACATGCTCTCATAAATCGGAGTTGTAGCGCGCGCATAGATAGGTATTGTAAATACACGTAGAATTAATATCGGCCGATTTATAAAGCGGCTGGGCAACTGAGATGCTAAAAAGCGCGCGCCGGGACTAGTTGGCGGAATAGAGAATGGTAGTTTCCTGTTGAAAGGAGAACACGTACTGTCGTGCAGACACCTCGGCGTGAGGTCACCGACGGCGTGACGGTGTCGAATCATATCATGAGTGTACGTATCTGCTTGAGTGCGTACGCACGTATGCACGTTTTTTATGAGTGCACTCTTGTTATCGATGCATCCCACACGAGTGTCGTTTATTATAAATGAAAGAGCGATTACCGCTGCTCGTGTTACCGATGCTTAATACGCGCGATGATTGATGACCTTTTAGCGCAACTAAATTAGAC